TCTTCCATAGGATAGCATGGTATTAGCTTAAGTTGCAAGGGCTTGATTCAGAAAGCCATTTCTGCATGTAATTAAGTCAGTCCTTATGCAGGACAGCATTTTGTAAATCCTTTTTAAACTTTCATCTTGTACGTTGTAAGTCCTACTGACTTTCATGAGTTGAAGAAAGTTTCCTGAGGTTAAACAAGTACTTAAATATTGTTCTGAAGAGGGATGCTTTTGAATGGGGTGGAAAAGATTGCATTTTTCATATATGCAGTCACAGGAAGCTTGTCTTCAGTTCTTTGGTCTACTCCCAGTGTTTTGAGTTATTTTCTGGCAATAAAAGAGCACGCACGGGGTCCCACAGATATAGCTCTGTCCCCCAAGGTCACAAGATGTTAAAATCATACCATCCCACTCACAACCTTCCTCGTCTAGTTCAATTTCAACATGATTTTTGTGGAAAATAAAGCAAGAACACGGATCATGCCCAGCAGGACCCGAGTCCTGAGTTGTGTTTCTGGCCTGCCAGATTTCATAGCGCAACAGCTTTCTGAGTGTCATTTCAAGGTATGTTTCTTCTAATGACAGAGCCCTGGTTTGAAAGGGCCCTTGCTCATTTGCGTAAGCCCAATGCTGCATTTATTTTCCTTACGGTTGTTCTCATGCAATTGATTGTGGAATTACATCTCTAAACAATTGTCCTGGCATGGCAGAGGTGGCAACACGTCCCCAGCAATAAAGACAGGGAGAACCTCTAAAACTGGCTCTTGCACCTGGAGCTGAATTCCTTCCCTGTGAAGCTGCTCCCCACACAAGGAGTGAAGTATTAAAGGCTGTGCAGTTACAGTGAGAAATATGGAAGGATTGTGAACAGATAAAGCTTAGATCATCGTGTGACCTCTCTGGCAGGACAGAAAGACAACGTGTTCATACGGGTTTGTGCACACCGCCTTTGCGCTGCAGCCTGGCCTCTGCCACTCCTGGCCTCCCTGATTCAGGAGAGGATCTGCACGTTCCTCGTACCAGCTGCGTGTGGCATCGCTGTGTATTGCTTGCTCAGCGAGCTGCAACTGCAACGCAGGAGGGACTGATACCAGTCATGGGTGACCAGCACGGTGGAGATGTGGGAGCAGGGACTGGTCACTGGTATATAGCATCACCTCCTGATGCGGGAAGCTGTGCAATACCAGGAGGCAGAAGCCTGCAGTGAGGCAGGAGGAGGAGGTGATGACAGCTATGGGAAGGGCAGGGATCTGTGAAAACTGTCTGTTGCTTTTGCAAACATCAGTGGATAAACTGGTTTCCTTTAATAGCCATAATTGTTGTTGCACTAGTTAGGTGACAGCAGGCACTGGGATGCTTACTTATGCTCAGCTCCCACCTTGGCTTTGTGTGGAGGCACACCTGCTGAGTGTGGGGAAATCATGCTGTTGTGTGATTAGGTGGTTTCCTGAGCAGATGCCAAAGCAATCCTATTTTGAGATGTTCAGCAATTACAGTTCCACCATCCAAAGCCAGCTGAAGTACCCGAAGATGCATCAGGTTTCCCTGCTTGCGGTTAGAGAGACCAGAGCCGGCATGGGTCCAAGGCACAGGTCAGTCTCCACCAGAAAGCTTTGCAGGCTGGGCACGATGTTTTCTACGTGAGATGTGTGAGTGTCCAAGGATTTCACCAGTGCAATTGCTAGAGCTGGAGGTGAAGAAGTTTCTCTCCAGGATCAATTTGATAACATGGCCAATACACAAACCTCATTTAAACAGGATTTCCACTGAGGTCGTGTACAGAGGCACAGCAGTCCTGCAAAATCTTAAAGCCTGCAGCGTTTCTGTATTAATTTTAAACGACTCTGTTGAAAGCACTCTCTGATACTCTGTTACTCCAGCCATTGTGGTAGGAAAGAGCAGGCTGCGATTTGAGAGCAGGGGTGTCTGCAAAAATGTTTACATACAGTAAAAAACTGCTGTCAGTCAATCTAATCACTCATATTTTCATGCCAGCTTACTAGTGAAAATATGTTGAACCATGTATTTGTTATACTGCCTTCAGGTATTATTTGCCAATTCTAAACTTGTTTTGTAATAGAAGATTGGAGATTAGGTGAAAGAGCCAGAAATCCTTCAATCCTTGCTTGGATGATACTCATACTAATTTCAATTTTTCAAGCTGTTCTGTTTACTGTATGGCCCCTGTGCTTAGACCCAAAAGCTGGAGCTAAAGGGCTAGTTTTTAGTCTGAGGCCACTCTCACTTTATGAAAAACAAAATCAGCTACTGCTGTTTCATCGTAACAGTTTGGAAATTTTACTCCTTATTTATGACTATTGATAGGACAAAACTTTCAAAAGTATGTGAGTCTTCTTGACAGCTACTGGCATTAGGGCTCTTAAGGCACAAACAGTCTCAGGAATCTTATTCAGTGTTTTGCAGACAAACAGTAACCCAGATCTCTTCCCTGTGGTGTCCAAAGGCTCAGTTCTGCAATGCCTGGCAATTGTGCTAGATGAGAGTAGAGGTTGCAGGAACACCTTGTGTCTCTGAAGCATTGAGGTTTTTTCTTTTCTCACTGGTTTCACAGAAGATGAGGGGTCTGAGCATCTAGCAGGATGCTGTCAGGCAAAGTCGTGGTCTGCATCAGTGTGAATGAAAGCAAAATTAGGGCTTTGCTGTCAGGGGGAATGAAATAACAGCAAGAATTTCCTGGCAGAGATCTCTTTGCTAGCTCCCCATTAGGTTTCATTCACTTGGTGTATTTCAGTGCATGCATTCAAATAATATTTCTCTAAGAAATGAAGGGCTGTATTTGGTCAGCTGA